CGGAGGCGGGGACATGGTTGGCGAGGCCGGCGTGCCTGGGCGGAGTTGGGCCGGCGGGGGCGGAGCGAGCGGCGGGGGCGGTGCTGGGTCGCGCGGGGCTAGGGGCCAAGGCGGCGCTCGGTGTTGACAGCTGAGGCGGCTGACTGCCTCCCGCGCCCCCGGCGCCCGGCCCGGCCTGCCCGGAGCCATGAGCCCCGGGCTGCTGCTGCTCGCTAGCGCCGCCCTGCTCGCCTTCGGCCTCTTCTGCACCTTCGTGCACCGCGCTCGCAGCCGCTACGAACACATCCCCGGGCCGCCGCGGCCCAGGTGAGCGGGGGTGGGGCGGGGCGCGGAGGGGACTTGCGATCGGCCGGGGACGGTCCCAGCCGGCGGGCCAGGGCCGCCTCCTGTGCGCGCGGCCGCTGGAGACGGCGCCCGGAGAGGGCGCTCACTATTCTTAGTAACACATTACTCACAGCGGCAGCTTCTCGGCGCCCCCCGCGCGCGGCTGGGCCCGACGGGCGACATGGCAGCAGCAGCCGGTCAGGTAGGCGCTATTGTTACCCCATCGTGCAGACCCGGAGACTGAGGCGCGCGGAGGCGGAGTCAGTGCCCAAGGTCACACAGTCGGTAAGCCTCGACTGAAACTCAGGTCGGCCTGGCTCCGGAGCGTGCGCCCTTGACTTTGGGACCTGCCCAGGGTCGCTCACGCGGTGCTCGGGCCACGCTCTGCATTGTTTGCGTGTCTGTCCAGGCATTTCCGACGTGTCTTCCCCTTGGTACTTCCATCCCATTCTTGCCCCTCCCCCCAACCTACCTGCCCCAGCCAGGATTACCCTTCGGAAGCTGAAATCCGCCGCCCCATCGCTTTAGAACTAAATCCACGCCGTGGCTTGCAAGGCCCCTGCCAAGCCCTGCGACCCCCTGCACCCTCTCTTCCCCTTCACTTACCCACTGCCACCCCCAGTCTCCTTGCACTCTCCGGCTCACCTGTTTCCCAGGGCCTTGCTCTTACCCGGGCCTGGAACCCCTGCTCTCAAGCCTGGGCACCGTGAGCTTGCTCTTCGGTCACACAGGCCTTCCCCGTGCACTGTGCAAAGCCCACTGAGCCTCAAACCCCTTATGGCATCTTGCTGTTGAACTCTTGTCAGCTGTTGACTATCTGTGTCCCCTCAGAATGTGAGCCCTGGGAGGGCAGGGATGCTGTAGTGGGCTTGTGTACTACCCCACCCCACCCCCAGTGCCTGGCACATTGCAGACGCTCAATAAATATTTGTTGAATGGATGAACAAACAATGTTACTAAACACACTTTTTAAAACCTCAGGATGTGAA